TGCACCATGAGCAAAATCTTTGCTGTTATCTGAGTAATTATTTCTGATTTCATTTTTCCCAGATCCTCTTTTGTGGCCAGTTCAGAGAGTCCAGGTGGTTGAGTATCAGAGTTTTCCATCTCGTTTCCCTTTGGGGTTGCTGTAGGTGATCCAGAGGTCTGTTTTTGAGGCTTGTTTATGTGTCTTCTCATTTCCACGGGGTGGGGGTGGGGGTGCTTCTGGCGCCCACGCAGCTCACCTTCTCTGCCCTAGGAGCTTGGGATGGCATCGGGGGAGCTTCCTCCCGGGTGCTGGGACCAGCTCAGCTTCTCTGCCCTAGGAGCTTGGGATGGCGGTGGGGGAGCTTCCTCCTCTTAGGGAGTTTTAATGGGAAGTGCATTAAATCTGGCATCAGCAGACTTAGCTTTGAGCTTTGGCTCCAAAACTTCTTGGCTGTATAACCTAACCCAAGTTCCTGAACTCTTTTGAGTCTCAGTTTCCTCTTTTGTGAAGTTAAGTAATCCAACTTGCTTTCTTATACCTCAGAGATAACCAAAAGAAATATTTAAATATTATTGTAAGCTAATAAAGCAATGATTTTTGTCAAAGTTAATCCTAGCACTTGGGTGGTTCTAGGAACCTGTCATGTATAACCAAAAAGCCTGAGATAAAGAAAAAAGATGAATAAAAATCAAAGGCCATGAAGTCTCAGGTCAGGTGCTTTCCAATGCAGAAAAGGACCAGGCAGGAAAATAATGTTCTCACAGGAGACAGCATTTCAAAAGCTACTCGTCTTCAGCTAAGGCACTAAAATAACCAGAAGAAAGATTGGTTTCAACCATTATATATAAAAAGCTATTTCCTACCTCTCCCAGACAAATTCATTCCTGCAGTGTTTCATTTTCTTTATATAGTCAATAAAGACAAGATTTCTTACAATGAATTAAATAATTCAAAGAGAGTTCAGGAGTAACATGGTAATTCTTAAGGAAAAGCAAATTTCCTAAAAAACAAGCCTCTGTTTTCCACAGTGAGAAAATGTGGTCTCTTCTCTTCTCTTCTCTTTTCTCTTCATGGTGCTCAGGATTGAATTGAGATCTTCACAGAAGCAAAGAATACTCTCAGGAGCCAGACATGGTGGCACACATCTGTAATACCAGCATTCTGGGAGGCTGAGTCAAGAGGACCACAGGTTTAAGCCCAGTCTAGGGAACTTAGTAATACCCTGTGTCAAAAATTTTTTTTTAATTTTTAAAGAATTGGGTATGTAGTTCAATATGAAGGCCATGGGTTCAATCCCCAGTATGAAGGAAAGGAAGGGGAGAAAATAGGACAAATTAGGAAAAGGGAAGGAGAGAGAAAAAGGGGGGAAGGAGGAAGGCAGAGAGAAAGGGAGAGAGGAAGGAAAAACAGCACATGCTCTACCACTGAACTATATAGCCAACCTCCCAACAAAGTTTAAAGTCTATCAGACAAAAGCTACTTTATAACCACCTTTATTGTGCATTTCTCCCATGGGAGTCTCTGCCACCCAAGAAGTATTCATGAGAACAATAAATCATTATAATCAAAATCAGAACTGTCCACAGCATTTTCAATAACACTAACATATGTAGCACAAGGGAACTAGCTGAGAGAAAATATTCCTGACTATAACTGGAAAATTCAAAAATATGGTTATGAAAAAGAATGTGAAGACCTATCATATGTGCTCTCCTTTATCCTCACAGCTTTTATTTCAAAGGTTCCATAAGGACATCAGGGAGAAAATAGCCATACATGAGCTTGTAATCTTGAGGAACGCCAAATGTGTATATGTAAGAAATGTACATAAGAAATGCCACACAGACAACATAAGCAGGAGGCGCACTGTCTGCATAATTCCACACATCACACAGCCATTATAGTCTG